TTCACTACTGTACACCTAGCAAAATGCCTGGGATATAGCAAACACACAATACCTATTTGTAGAATGCACGAATGAATACAAATGATAAGGCAAATGAGATGAGCCAGTTACAAAGTACTATTACACTTGATGATTTCTTCTTCCCAACACACTGTAAATATTTTGAACGAATCGAATGGTATTTCTCTCGTTCTCTCTTTTATCCTCAATACTTAGTGTGTGGGACTCCAAAATATTTGCTGAATGAAGGAATGTCAAACTACAGAGATATAAGGTCAGCGGTTGCCAGAGACGAGGAAGGAGAGGGGAACAGATGGAGCACTGGGCTTGAGCAAAGTATCAAGCGGGGAAGAAAAAGGCATTTTTGACTAGAAACAAGCAAAACAAGACAGAGTACTGCTGCCAGTTACGGAGTATAAAGCTCGGGATGCACAGGAGCACATGTGGAGGCATCAGAAGGGGAGGGGCCATTCAAACTGTATTATTTAGGGAAGGGGTTCTCATGATGACTCCGAGGGACATGAAGTAGAAGAAGTAACCTAGAAATGAGAGAAGAGTGGCTATAGATGTGCACGCAGACAGTGCAAGAGGGAACTATAAAGAACACACACACACAAAAAAAAAAACCCAAACAGCAAAGCTCTCTGGAAACATCATAAGGTCCCACATCTACACACTGTCATAAACCCACAGGACTCAGAGCAGGGTCCTCAATTCATCAAGAACAGGCTTTACTATCTATTCCTGCTGAACTATTATTGGTACTGGTTGCAGCAGTAGCTGCTAGAGTACTTAGTAACAGCAGAAACGTATACTTAAGTATTTGCCATGTATTTTCAAGTTTCATTTACATAAATATCCTATTAGATAGCTTCTACCTCATTCTAGACAAGAGAAAACCATACTACATGGGGCTTAAGTAATCCATCCAAGATCACCCTGCTGTTACGTTAACACCAGACTTAAAACTGAGGCTACACCTTACGTCCCACACTTTTAACCATTATCTTATACTCTAAGAAGGCAGATGATGATATTAACATATTTTAGACAGCTTTTATGAAAAATTATCAAAATGAAATTTGATATTTAATGAGATAAACCCTCAACTATCTACAAAACCCACCAACTTTCCAAAGAGCTCTAGATAGGTGAGATTCTGTCATAATGAGTAAACTCACCACAGAATGATGATCTCCATGGTGTAGCTCTCTTAGTATATGGTGCAGCTCTCTTAGTATATGGTGCACTATTCAATATGGTATCCATAAGCTACATGTGGCTAGTAAACATTTTTGAAATGTGGATAATCTAAACTGAGGTATGCTATAAGTTACAAATAAACAGCAGATAATGAAGGCTTATGACCAAAACAAGAACATAATATATCTCATTAATAATTTTTGTGTTACATGTTCAAATAATATCATTTTGGATGTAATAAAAGATATTATAAGGGCTGGGGTTGTGGCTCAGTAGGGCACTTTCCTAGCACATATGAGGCACTAGGTTTGATCCTCAGCATCACATAAAAAATAAATAAATAAAATAAAGGTACTATATCCATCTATAACTAAAAATATTTTTTAAATATACTATAAATTAATTTCACCTTTTGTTAATTTTCATAAATTACCAGAACATTTAAAATGACTCATGCTCCTCACATCTGCAGTTTGTATTATATTCCTTTTTGATAGCTCTGAGCATAGCCATAATCTCCAAGGCACTCTATTCCAGCTTCTGGACTACAGCAAACTTCTCAAGCTTTTAGTAGCTCACCTATCAAGAGCATGATAAATAGCAATCACATTTATGGTGAATGCTGAGGGGACACTGCAAGGAAGAAGGCAGGGAAGGGCCATCCTAATATATAAAAAGAGTCGTAATATATGATTAAAGTCTCTACATCAGAAATGGAATAGTCAAAACGACTCTTGAAAATCCCTTAAATTATCTATTAAGTATAGTAAATGTGACTTTGTACAAAGAGTGAATGTAAACCAAGTTGATGACACAGTAAAACCACACTGAATTTTATTTTTCTCTCAAAAATTGTTTTACTCTTGAATCAAATATAAGTTAAGGAATTTTTAAAAATATTTTTTAGTTATAATTGGACACAATACCTTTGTTTTATTTATTTATTTTTATGTAGTACTGAGGATTGAACCAGTGCCTCATACATGGTAGGTGAGCCCTCTACCGCTGAGCTACAACCCCAGCCCCAAATTAAGGAATATTTTTTAAAATCTTACAGATAAGAAATAGGCCTACAGAAACACAGACCTAATCTTTGACACAAGAGCAAAGGCAATCCAATGGAACAAACAGTCTTTTCAGCAAATGGTGATGGAGCAACCAGACATCCACATGAAAATATGGAATCCAGAAACAGACCTTAGACCTTCCCCTCACTGCCCCCTAAAAAATACCCTCAAAAAAGATCATTTATTTATTTTTGGTTTTTTGGCAGTTCTGGGGATGGAACCCAGGATCTTGTTCCCCCACATTCAAGGCAAGCACTTAACCACTGAGCTACATCACAAGCCTAGGATCACAGATCTAAATCTAAATCACAAAACTATAAAACTTCTAGAAGATAACTAAGGACAGAAAACTAGATGACTTTGGATTTGGATGGTGATGACTTTGTAGATCTAACTCTAAAAGCACAATCCACGAAAGAAAAAATAAGCTGAAGTTAATTAACATTTAAAACTTCTGCTCTGTAAAAAATAATGTTAAGAGAATGAAAAGATAAGCCACAGATTAGGAAACTTCTTGCAAAACTTCTAAAGAACTTTTTTCTAAAATACACAAAGAAGTTAAAACTCATCAATAAGGAAACAAAATTTCAATTAAACAGACAAAAAATATGAATATCTCACCAAAGAAGAAAAAGATAGCAGACACACATGTGGAAAAAGTGCTCAACATCAATAATAAAACACGAGATACCTGTATATACCTATTAAAATAGCTAAAATCCAAAATACTAACAAACCAAATGCTGATGAGGATGTGGGGCAATTTGTGTTTAATGATACATCTGGACAAGTCTACATCTTGTGTTACATTTACTGTATCTTTTCATTCGTCTTCTTCCTTGCCTGTACATCTAGATGGACAAGTCTACATCTTGTGTTACATTTACTGTTTCTTTTCATTCTTCTTCTTCTTTGCCTGTAGCTGAACCAATAAACTTTCATTACTCATTTTTCTCTTTCATGTTTAGAAAGCCATATAATTTTTTTCCTTAGTGGTCACTCTTGCATTTTACATTTGCATAATTTCACTTAGGACTCACATGTGTAGTTGTCTGGTGGCTCCACTCTCTCTAATCTGGACACAAGCTTAGCACACTTTAGTTACACGCTGAACTTTCCCCTCTCATCTTCTTTGATATAATTATCTAAAATTATCTAATATTTTTTTAAATGAAGGATTGAATCCAGCAGCACTCAACAACCACCGAGTCCCATTCCCAGTACTTTTTATTTTGAGACAGGATCTCACTAACTTGTTTGAACCGGCCTTGAATTTGTGATCCTTCTGCCTCAGCCTCCTGACTAGCTGGGATTACAGGCATGTGCCACAACACCCAAGCTAAGAAACATTTCAAGAATAAAATCAGGCAATACAAAGCCATTAGTGCCATGGCTTCCTTTAATGTTTCACCATTCCCACTTCATGCTGAAAAGGGTCAGCATCACAGCCTCAGGAGACCAGCTGACTTACCCTTGTCTGAGCTTGATGTTATTCTGGTTGGAAAGGCTTTCTTCCATTTTCATCAGAGCAATACAGATTATCTTTATATCCACAACTTATTCAGGCAAAACGGATGAAAATGTCAATAAAAACTTTAAAGAAGTTGGGCACGGTAACGCACGCCTGTAATCCCAGCAGCTCAGAAGGCTGAAGCAGGAAGATTGCAAGTCCAAAGCCAGCCTCAGTAACTGAGCAAGATCCTGTCTCTAAAGAAAATAAAAAACAGGGCTGGGGATGTGGCTCAGTGATTGAGTGCACCTGAATTCAATCCCTGATACAAATAAATTAAAAAAAAGAAGAAGGAGAAGGAGAAGAAGTTTAAAGAATAATTAATTTTATGTGCAAATTTTTAATGTGCTTAAAGAAAAACTCTGCTAACTCTAAAAATGGGAGAGGGGAGAAGAAAGTTTCCCTGAGAACCTGTTTTCAAAAAAAGGTATTCACTACATTTTACCATATTCCAATCTCTATTGCTACAAAGAACTAGAAGAGAATGCCTGTCAGAGAAGAAATTCAAGTAAGGGAGAGCCAATGCAGCAAAGCACTTTAAAATTCAAGTTGGAATGTCCAGGCACAGAGATTCTACTTTCAAGCACAAAATATTTAATTTTTTAATGAGGAATACAACCTAGTGATTGAGGGGAAAAAAATTAGCCACTGACTGATAACAAAGAAAACAAAAATACAGACTAAAATTCTACAGAAAGCAAAAGGAAATAATGTAAGGACTGACATTAGACCGACCTGAAATCAAATCCTGACTATGTCATCTCCCATTGGTGTAACCTTCAGCAAGTGACAACTCTCTGACCCTGAGTTTTCCCCTCTGCAGAGAGAGGATCATATAATAGGGAGCTGGGAGAATCAAACAGGACACCCGTTATGAAGTACCCAGCCCAGGGCTGGCTCGTGGTAGGTGCTCAACATCAGTTCCTTCCCATTACCTCCCACACTGCTTTCGTTGGTAGGTATAATATAAGGGCTTGGGGGAATTGTTAAAATTCATTTTCTCATGTCTATATTTATGAACAGATAAGCCTGTTTTGCAAGCAGATTTCTGAGGTAGCCTGAAATACACAGGCCCAAAGTCTGGTGAGCACCCTGAACTGGATCAGTATGGAGCTCTGGTTCCCAGGCCAATGCCTAGAAAGACTGACTTGGCCAAGAATACAGTTTTGGTGACCAGAAATCTGCCAGAAACTAGAGCAATCAAAACCAGAAAGGATTACTTGAGCTTCGGCTCCCGTCCTTCGCTTGTATACTGCCAACAGATGAGCCCAATGAGGTCCTGTACCCTGGCGCTGGCCATTGTCACCACGGTCATTGGCAGCAGTCTGTCCTGGCTTGAGTGCAGGGGGAGGTAGACATCGATCTTCTTGGTTGCAGTTGTGCCTACGTGACCCTGTGGACAGAGCACATGCAAGAGTGAAGCGCACAGCCAGGGTTGTGCAGCCCACAGTGGTCACAACCATTACTCTCAGGCCCAGGTGCGGCCCAGCCATTGCTCATCCTTTCTGCACAGACCTGCTCTGCGCCTCTACTGGTCCCAAAGCAGAACACTGTCTAGCTTCAAGGGTATTTTTCCTTTAGTTTTCATTTTCTAAGGGTACAATGAATCCAGCTCTGCCAGCAGGAAGGTAAATGAGCACCACAACCAAGATGAACGAGCAAGAGCAGTGATCAGAGCTGATGTTTGGCATAGTAGTAGACTAGTAGACTAGCTTTTGCTGCTAACTCAATATGACCTTGGAGAACTCTCCATCAGAACTCTGTGGCATCAGCTGCCCTCCCTGGAATCCACTACTGAAAAGTGTCTCCTTGAGATGTTGAGATAAGCTGCCTAGGAAGTTGCCACACTCTCTGGGGAAGCATTTGCCCTGGAATCAAGTGCTTGCCTTCTCAGAAACTACTGGGAATGTAGCATACCTGTTTACTTCAGTGTCACACAAGTTGAAGGGTCCACGGTCTTTGCTTACTGCCTATCCTCACAGTGCTCTGCCTATCGCCCACACCCGCTCTTCCCTCCTGAACCTTCCACTGGGTCCTCAAGCTCCTGCACTAAGCAATGTTCATAAATCCTCAGCTGCTTTTAATAAACACTCCCTCAGCCTCTCTGAATCTTAATCAAAACCTGGTGTTTATTGAGGATCCTTTTCCTCTGGCTGTCCTCCTTAAGAGAAGTATTATTTGTTTGTTTGTTTTTTGTGGCAGGGTCTTGCTAAATTGCCTAGCTGGACTAAAACTTTCAATCCTCCTATTTCAGTCTCCCAAATAGCTGGGATTATAGGTGAGCATCACCACATCCAGCTCTTTTTCTTTTTATTAAAAATAAATAAATAAATCCTCAAGGCCAGGACATAGAGTAGGTATTTTTGTTTCCATTAACACTTCTTTCAAACTATTACTTCCTCTCCCCCTTTCTTTTTTGGTACTGGGAATTGAACCTAGGGGTGCTTTACCACTGAGCTAAGTTCCCACTTATTTTTATTTTGAGACAGGGTCTTGTTAAATTGCACAGAGCCTCACTAAAGTGTTCTAAGGCTGGCCTTGAACTTGTGATCTTCCCACCTCAACCTCCCTAGACCCTGGGATTACAGGCTTGTACCACCATTCAGGCTACTTCCCCTTTCTTCCAAAAATCCCAGTTCCTTTAAGGTCCAAATCTTAACTACTCCACCCTCTTCCTCTTCTTTTCTATTTCTGTTATGCACCAACCTCCTGGTCACTCCTCTCCCTCACTGAAGTCCTGAGTTCATCTGTCTTCTTTCTCACCCACAAACATGTCCATATGCCGTATGCAGAAAAGTGTCACAGACAACTTAAGTTCACAATGGAGCACTTCACTGTTGCTCATTCCTGCCCATCCTTACTCATAACAGACCCTTCATTTCAGTAAGTGCCACCACCATGATGCCAGCTGCTTAAGGCAGTAGTCTTGAGTCCTCTTTCCCACTCCTACTGCCCACCTATCCCCCTAGCAACTTGTGTGTCTACCCCCAAAATATACTTCAACAGGGAAAGAACTGTCTTTCAACAAATGATGCCAGGGACAACTGAATAGTCACATGCAAATGAATGAATTTGAACTCCTGCTAATACCGTATTCAAATATTAATTCAAAATGGATTGAAGACCTAAATATAAGAAGTAAAGCTATAAAGCTCATTCATAGAAACAAAAAGTATAAGTCTTCGTGAATTTGATTAGGCAACAATTTCTTTAAAACAACACCAAAAGCACAAACAACAAAAGATAAATTCGATTCATCAAAATTTTAAAATTTTGTAACTCAAAGGACACTATCAAGAAAGTGAAAAACATAACCCACAGAATAGGAAGAAATATCTGCAAAACATGTATCTGATAAGGGTCTACTATCTAGAAAATATTAAGAATTTTCACAACTCAACATGAAGGTGATCCGATTAAAACACTGGCAAAGGATTTGAGCAGACGGGTCCAAAGAAGATATATAAATGGCCAACAAACAAATGAAAAAACAAACAACTTAATCAATAAATGGGCTAATGAGCTGAACAGACACTTCTCAGAAGATATGCAATCAATCAACAAATATATGAAAAAATGTTCAACATCTCTAGTAATTAAAGAAATGCAAATCAAAACTACTCTAAGATTTCATCTCACTCCAGTCAGAATGGCAGTTATCAAGAATACAGACAACAATAAGTGTTGGCCAAGAAGTTGGGAGAAAGGGCACGCTCATACATTACTGGTGGGACTGCAAATTGGTACAACCAATCTGGAAAGCAGTATGGAATTCCTTAGGAAACTTGGAATGAAACCACCATTTGACCCAGCTATCCCACTCCTTGATCTATATACCCAAAGCATTAAAAACAAAACAAAACAAAACAAAAAAATAAACTACAGTAACGCAGCCACATCAGTGTTCATAGCCAGTACAATTCACAATAGCAAACTATGAAACCACCTAGATGCCCTTCAATAGATGAACGAATAAAGAAACTGTGGTATATATACACAATGGAGTATTTTTCGACAATAAAGAGAGAATAAAATTACGGCATTTGCAGGCAAATTGATGGAGTTAGAGAATGTCATGCTAAGAGAAGTAAGCCAATCCCAAAAAACCAAATGCCAAATGTTTTCTCTGATAAATGGATGCTAATCCATAATGGGAGTGGGGGGGGTAAGATGAGTGGTGGAACTTTGGATGAGGCAAAAGGGAGTGGGGAGGGAGCGTGGGGGTAGAAAAGATGGTGAAATGAGACAGACATCATTATCCTAGGTATGTGGATAATTGCACAAATGGTGTGACCCTACTTTGGGTACAACCAGAAGTCAAAAATTGTGCTCCATTTGTGTATAATGAATCGAAGAGCATTCTGCTGTCATGTATAACTGATTAGAACAAATAAATTAAAATTTAAAAAAACACAATGAGATACCTCTTCATACCCACTAAGATGGTTATGGATTTTTTTTTTTTAAAAAAACCCTTCCCCCTCAAAAAATAAAAATACCTGACAATAACAAGGGTTTGTGAGGATGCAAATAAACTGGAACCTCATACATTAACAGTAGGAATATAATATATTCCTGTGAAAAACAGTTTGGCAGTCTCTCAATAGTAAACACTGAATTATCATATGATCCAACAATTCCACTCCTAGATATATACTCAAGAGAATGGAAAACATGTTCACACAAAAACTTGGAAAGGCATGTTCATAGCAACATTGTTTATAATAGTGAAAGAATGGAAATAGTTAGAAGTTCATTAACTGATTATAGATAAACAAAATCCTTATAGTGAAATATTACTCAGCCATAAAAAAGGAACGAACCATTGATACTTGCCACAACATGGATGACACTTGAAAATAGTATGCTAAAAGAAAGGCCAGAGGTAAAATGTCACTTATTATATTGACCCATTTATATGAAATGCCTGGAAAAGGCAAGTCCAAAGATACAGAGAGTAGATTAGTGACTGGCAGAAATTGGGGGGGGGGGGGGGGCGGAGGGACTGGGAGATATGGAGCTTCTTTTTTGTGGTGTTAGAAATGTTCTGGAATTAGATAGTGATAATAGTTGGGTAACATTATGAATACATTAAAAACCATAGACTGTACACTTAAAATAGTGAATTTTATATGAGCATTATCTCAATAAAAAAACTGGAAAATACATAATTTAAAACCATCCCCCTTTGCTCCATCTCTAGATTCCAAACTTAAGTATTGTACTCTGTCTATTGTAATTTGTTTTCTTTTTTTTTTTTTTTTTTTGGTGGTGCTGGGGATCGAACCCAGGGCCTTGTGCATGTGAGGCAAGCACTCTACCAACTGAGCTATATCCCAGCCCCTGTAATTTGTTTTCCACATATTTAAAAAAAAAAAACTCTACTTACACTCCTCTTTAAATTCCTCCAGTGAGTTGTTCCCAGGACACAGAATGAAACTGAAACTCCTTGCAATGTCCCACATGGCAACAAATGACCCAGGCTCTGTCTGCCTCTCCATCATCACCTGCTGCCACACCCTGGCCTGCTCACCAGGCTTCAGCTATGCTGGATTCTGGAAAGTGCTCTAAACACACAAGACCGTGAGAAAGAGCAAGAATGAGGTGAGAGCAAGTGGGCTTTGTCATTTGCATCTCCCACTCTCAAGGCTTTATGAGGTGCTTCTCACTTTCTAAAAGGTTCTGCTCCCTAATGTCTGTATACCTGGCTCCTAATCCTCTTAATGTGTGCTTTTGAGAAGGTTGTGAAATCTCTCGGGCTTTTGTTTCCTCATATGTAAGATGATGATAATGATGAGACCTACCTATCATGAGACCTTTGTGAGGATTATTGCCACTGTTGTTATTATTCAAGGTTTAGCTCATCTGGCTCCTACTCAGAGAAACCTTCACTGATAATGCTACAGAAAGAAGCCCCTCTCCATTATGCACTCCACACGGGTCCTGCTTGTTTCCTTCACAGCACTTAACAATTTAAGAGTAGGTATTTATTGATGTTCATCCACAGCAGACACCTCCTGCCCAACCTGTAACGTCCATGAGGGCAGTGATGATATCTGCTTTGTTTACTGCCCCATGCATGATTCCTAGCATTGTGCCTGGCATAGTAAAGACTCTCAAAAACAAAAAATGTGTTAAGACAGGCATGGTGGTACCTGCCTAGAGTCCCAGCTACTTGAGAGACTGAGGCAGGAGGATCCTTGAGCATAGGACTTTGAGACCAGCCTGGGTAATGCAGCAAGACTGTGTCTCAAAAATAACAACAACAACAACTAAACAACCAAGCAAACACGAACTATGAAACTCCAGGATGAGTGTCTGAGTGACTCAGGTGCCCACCAGGACACTTGGAAGGAAATCAATAAATGTCAGTTTCCCCATCCCTCTTGTCCT